ATTTTCATTTGTAAGAATATTCTTAAAAAATTATCGTGTTACCATGACAACTACTTTAGATACTTCATGTTCGGAAAATACAACGGTTTTGTCAGCAAGGCGAGGGTTTCTGCATGCATGTATTTTCTAGTTAGTTCATACTTCCCAAATGTATTAATATACCACCCCCTTTAAATTTCTTTTTGTTTACCTCTTCTAGTGGCTCCAGCTCCTTTTCTTCCAAGGCTGATAGCTGTGCAGGTATCTCAGCTGTTTCTACAGGTTCAGCGGTTGGTCTTTGAACATTATTTTTCAATGAAAATATTAGACAATCTGTATTATCAGCTGGAACATGGTTGCCTGTTGTTTCCAGTGTCTGCAATAAGGATTCCCACCACTCTCGTGCCGAAGGTGGCATAACAGAATACCATTTCTGCATGTCAGATGCAAGCTTGGGTAAGTCTGCCTTTGAAAAATTTGGTGGTACCTGGATTGGCATGTCAACAGGAAGCGACTATATAATTTTAGTATAAATTTCCAGGTGACTATTGATTTTTCTGCATTCTGATTGGTTAAGATTCACTGTCTCTGAAGTGATAGTCACTGGTCAGTGACTATAGCTTTTTTTTCAAAATGGCTGCTCGTTTTGCCGTAGTAACAGAGGAGGAAATTGCCAAAATTAAAGAAGATAGCATTCCGAAAAAACCCAAACAAGCTATAAAATATGGTTTAAAAATATTTCAAGGTAAACTATTAAACTTTACATGCTTTTATTTGGAAAAAAACTGGCTTAGTCGCAACGCGACACAAAGCCGTGTCTGAGATTTAAATTTTGTAAACAAACTATTTATAGCGAAAATACATTTATTTGAAGTGAATTTTTATAAAGTTGTGTGGATTATTGTTTGTAAACACCTGGAAATTTATACTAAAACAATTAGTCGCCTCAGGCTCGGTGATTACAAGCCTATATTCACTTCGCCTTCGGCTCAGTGAATATAGGCTTGTAATCACCTCGCCTTCGGCGGCTAATTGTTAAATAGAAAAAATAAAACAATAACTTCCAGTCTCTTGAAGCCATTTTGTGATATTTTTTCAACACAGTTTAAGATACAGTAACCTTTTTGAGAAACATAATAATTGTATTACCTTTAATAGTTGTACAGGACCCATCCACTCATCGCCACTCCACTTCCTGTAGTACATAACTGCTTTATTTTCTTCATTCCGGACAAATTTGAAGCAATGTGGCCTGACATGTTTGTGTAGATCATCACTATGGGCATCCAACCATTCTTTAATGTCATACATTTTTGATAAACATCTGGATTCTGGGTGGGGTTTGTTAGAACACTCTTCATAAGCTTTTCTTATATCTAAAGTTATAATGCTTAAGTGAAGTGATCACACTGTAAGTTCATAATTACAATCTGCAGAATTTAGTGTCAACTAATTATTCTGTCATGCCAACAGAACTGATACACTGTTTAACATGATACCGGCAAAGTTAGTGTTGTAGGGTTTCATGTTGAAAATCTTTTTTAGAATCTTACAATAATCTTTTAATATTTTATTTTAATTTTCACTTAACATTCTTGCCAGATTATTACAACATCTTACAAGCTCAAATTGTAAGATAGTGATAAGATTTTTACATGGGGTGACAATAACCACCAATACCCATTAACCACCAGTACTCTATTACTGATAAATAAAATTATCTGGCATTGTACAGAGTAAATGCTAAAGTAGGGTGCAATTTTCCCGCTAATGGGTTAACCAATTACTGAACAAATCTCCCAACTCTAGTCTTTACTCTGTCTAATGCAAAACAATTTTACTCATCAGTGGTAGAGTACTGCTAGTTAATGGGTTAAAAACTTACCATCAACCGTATATACATCAAGAAATTTAAGATGCTTTGAAAAACAACCAAATAAGGCATCAATATCCTCATGGGTATGCCCAACTGGTAGGAAGTTGCCCTTGATCTGAAAAAGTAAAGGTTACATACAATTACTATATATATAGCAAATAATCATATTTCTCTGATAGAAAATTATTTCCCTTTAGGAAAACTTGTGCAAGAAGGCACATGTGATCTAAATCAATGGGTTTAATTGCCATGACAATGCTTCACCTGCATTATTAGCAACAGAGATAAAGATACAGTATTTTGAATGTTGGCCAGGATGGAAGCCCCTATACATGAGTTGACATGGTTGGAAGTGAACCCTTGGCACCTGTGACCAAATGAAACTGGTTCACTTTTGAAAATATGACCCATTCTTGTTTTAACCATACCTTATCAAACACGGACCATTCCACCAAAAGGGACAAAAAGGTAAAAACATATTTGTTCTTGTTTTTACGCCAGCAGTTGTCTAGTTGAAGGTTAAGTACTGGTGGTAAACCAAAGCGATCATTGAACAATGTAAGAAGTGTGATGGGAATGTTCATTGTTAAATTGCTGTCATGCGGCCATTGGAACAAGTCGAAAATACCGTGGAATGTTTTTCCCATGGGACACAACCCACTGTGCATGATAGCTCCAACAAGATGCGTTCTCATTTTTTGGAGATTTGCTGTTGACTTGCAGACTCGCCGAAGGTTTGGTACATCAGTCTTCGATTGATCCATACCATCCAAAATGATTGTTAAATACTTTGAAGGACTCCGTCGTGCTTTGTACCGATGAAGATGATATTTTTTCCTTTCATTCCTGGTAAGGAATAACATTCGCATGACTTGTAGACTCTTTTGAACAATAGAGAGGTTAAGACTATCCCATTTACTGATACCAGTACAGGGGATACTAATAGAGTCATTTTGTGTGGTAAATTTTATTGATATACTTGCGATAGATGAACCAGGCAGAAATCGTAATTTTAGGATAAATATTAATGCCCAGCATAAAATACGGAAAAGAGCCATAACAAAAATATAGTTTAAAATATTTATTAGAAAGCTGGCGTTTCGTCTTTAACTTAAGACATCTTCAGAGCAATGACATACAAAGCGGAAAACACAGAAATATGAATAAATTACAATTATTTACAAGATATTATATTACAAAAGTAGAAAGAGGAATGGATCAGAGCAGAAGTAAAGGGACAGAGCTGCCCTGTAAATTGAGAGAGGGTTTGAGTTTGTTAATGAGAAGACTTTCTCGAATGAGGAGTTCGTCTGGAGAAGAGCAACAAGAAATAATCTTGAAATCATTAAGAGAGGCGGTGTTCATATTTCTGTGTTTTCCGCTTTGTATGTCATTGCTCTGAAGATGTCTTAAGTTAAAGACGAAACGTTAGCTTTCTAATAAATATTTTAAACTATATTTTTGTCATGGCTCTTTTACGTATTTTATGCTGGGCATTAATATTTATCCTAAGATTTTATTGATACCTAAATGTTTAAACAAACTTTTTGTGTGTTCTCCACATAGACTATAGTATCAGAATAACAAGCACATTTATTACGAGTATAAACTTGCAGTAAATTATAAAACCAAATGGGGCTACTAGTACCTGATACCAGTTAACAGAATAATCTCAATCTCTCTATTAATCGACCTTATACTCTCTCCTCTGCAGAGCCTTCTTAAATATTTACAAATAACTTATGAAGTTTCCTGGATAAAAGTGAGCGTGCACGGTGTGACGGGAAGATTTAAATGATGCTGTAGAGGGAAGACTTAAATAGAGCTGCCCAGAAATAATGCAACAAAGTATGGTTTTTGAACCAAACTAGTTGTTTGACCTTTTTTAGACTTGAAATCGACGGAAATGTGAAAGAAATTGAAATAAATCTTCATAATCTGAGTATCGAAGTTCAGAAGAGTAATTTTTACAACGAAATGTTGCAGCCAGAGGATATTTATAATTAGATACAGTAGCGCATATCCATTTTTAGATTCATTTGCAATTTTTCAATATTTTTCGGTGCAAATGGACAGAAGATATTGATATTGGATTCATTCCAGGAGACTCAAGTACGCTTGAAAAGGAAACTGGAAAACATGTTTTAACACCCTCGATGGTTGATCGAACCGAACTGCAAATGATTATATATGCCGCCATATTGCTATAATATGATATAACTAGCAGATGCTTTATTTGTTTAGCTCTTCCCCTCACTCCTTGCGCGCTCACTTTTCCCTCACTAAAACTTCATGTAAGTCTCTGTGGAGGAGAGAGGACCTTACCCATTATGGCATATTCCACTACTACCATGTAAGACCACTAGACCAGAATGCTTTGTCAGCATTCTGGCTTGATTGCAATTTAATACTTGCAAAGCATCCTGGTCCTACTAGTTAAATAATGCAATAAACTTCATTAGGGGTAAGGCTTAATACACTATGATTGATGAATTGACCTTCACTTTCACTTTCATTAATGAGGACAAAAAATAAAAACCCAGGCCAAATAAGTATCGAAAGAGTAATAAGTAATATTTGTAGAAAACTAACAACTCTCAAATTTTATGCTGTTTACTTACATAACACGTTCAATGTGTTTATCTAGAAGCTCTTGAATAGCTTTTCTTTTAGCTTTGTTCATTGTTGCCTCTAGTTGCTTTTTTATACTTGGTGCAAGGATGGCATTTGGTAAATCGGTTTTCCTGTAATAATGAAATAATATTTGACATATTCATTAACTATAGACTAGCAGGATGACTGGTGGCAGGGTGCCTGTCTAATACCAGACGATTTTAGTGAAAAAGGGGAGACTCTTGCTAGTCTTTCTGTTTTATCATTTAAAGCCTTAAAATACACATAAATATTTTGCTGGGCTTTAGTGGTGAAAATTACAGTGGTTATTGACAAATCTGAACATGATCCTAGTTTTATTTTTTGCAACGTTTTGTGGAGTAATTGTTACCTTTGGTATTGAGACATGACTAAATTCTTTCTCCAAGATGCTATAGAAATGTGACCTGCTGATGGTGTCATCAGAATCCTGCTCACTTAACATTTTCTGGTACAAAGCCAGCTTGGTAAAACAGGATGGTAAATGAACTTTTCCACTATCTGGTTGTTGATCACCGATTGAGTTAACAAGGAATCTCAACCATGCTATACATTCTGATGTCTTTGTTGTGGGCCTTTTCAATCCAGTGTTCCCGTGCACGTACGCTTCTGAGCCATCTTTAAAATCACAGTGTATCGTTTTGAATCTTGCAATAACCTCTGTGTAATATAAGTATTATATAGAGTTCAGTGGTTTTGAACTTATAATTCTCGCCTCAGACTCCAGGAGTGTTTAATATATTTTGTGGAAACATGGCGAAGTTTAAATATTGTAAAGTTTTATAATTACTGAATCTCTCGCCAACTAGGAGGTTTTACCATGCTAAAATTATCAAGATCCGGATTTCTGAATCAGTATTATGGACAGCGATATGCATAATAGGTAAGTACGTGGCTGGCTGGCAGTAAAAATACCGGGAAACTGCGAAAACCGTTTGAAAATTGCTTGAGGAATATCTAAAATTTTAGACACACACATAACATGTACATATAGGCAGCCCGCGAGCCCAGGTAATTTTGATCATTCTCGTCTGTCTGCCGCTGAGAATTGTGATTAGTTTGAATGGCATGTGATTATTAGCTTGATAAATACCGTAAACCTCCGACTATTAGGACTATAAGCCCCCGAATATAAGCCTCCGAATATAAGCCCCGAATATAGCCCCCGAATATAAGCCCACCACATATACTAACGCTCATCTCATTCCAAATATAAGCCCACCCGAATATAAGTCCATCCGAATTATAAGCCCCCCAAATATTAGTCCCCTGAATATAGGCCCAGTAGCCCACTACGTTATCCAACATTGACATTGTCTTTTAATAATATAGCAGAGAACGATATTTAAAAACATTGTCATTGTCTTGATAGTTGACAATGTGAGTCGAAGCGCGGTATTATTAAATAATACATGTTAATTTTCCTGTTTATGACTAACTTGTTTATGTCCGAATTGTTTATTACATAAACACAAAAAAATCGTCCATGTATTAGCCCCCCCCCCATTTATAAGCCCCCCCCTTGTATAAACCCATCAAAAATCGCTTACGAAAGTATATAAGTCCAGGGCTTGTAGTCGGAGGTTTACAGTCTGGACTAATTAGCTGTGCCCCAGTATGCCCTACTTTATTTTTTTTTACTTGCATAATGCCAGTACTTGTCAATGGGAAAGCTCTGCAGCTTAATGGGTTAATCACTCTTCTTCACAGAGGCTTCAGTTAGCTATGATTACGATTAGTATTGAGGCTCTTTCATGGAGGATCTTTCATCTGGGCTCTTGAGCTGGCTGTATTATATAATATAGAACCAGCCGCACTGGCTAGTATATACAGACAGTGTAATAATTGTTCAACCATGCTCTCAAGGCTCATCCGGGCTCTCAAGCTGGCTGTATGATTAATCTAGTATATACAGATGTCCAGTGTAATAATTGTTTGCTTATTTCACTTGTTCATCAACCTTTTTTGCATTATCTCTATACCACTTCTTTAAAAATTTCCTGGTATTTTCTAACAAGTGATTATTTTCATCAAGTTCAAAGGCACACACAATGACTGCTTCTTTGGGGATAGTATCTGCCCATGTTGTTGGCCCATCTTTACCTTTCACCATATGTGGTTGCCAGGCTGTGCTGTAACTTCCCTTCCAGTAGTTTAGAGTAAACTGATTGTCACAAACCTCTGTTACTTTACCAATAACTGGTCTTTTTTTATAGTTGCTTATATATACCGCAACAAACACACCAGGTTTTATAGCAGCCAGGTAATTGTCATCCATGTTTACACCACGGGATGCAGGTGCTTTGTATGGGCCAGTATAAATCTAGGAAAATAGGTATCTACTGTATGAATACAAATTATTTCCTAAGCTCTGTGTAACCAGGCCTTAAAATATCGGTCGGTCATGGACATTGTCCGACCCATTCGTGAAATTGTCCGACGTAGAGAGGAAATCACCAGACATTCTGTCCAACCATAGTGAAACTGAGGTTTATTGTTTGTCCGACCCGAGTGTATTGGTGTCCGACCGTACTGTAGCTTTGTCCGTCGTAAATGAAAATGTTTCCTAGCCCAGGATGTTTTTTTTTAACATATAGTTGAGCGTGGGGCGGAGAGCGAAATGGCGAAGTGGAAAACAGGCTTAAGTTGTCAAAGTCTTTTTTAATACTGCTGTTCTGGCAAGCAAGTTAATTTTGGCTTGGAAATAAGTATGAAAAAACAAATTATTTAATATCTTTACAACATTTACTGTTTATTCATTTGTGTCATTCAGACTTATTTCCGAGTCATAACTGAACTGAAGGTCATTGGACATATGTCTGACCCAAACTCAACGTCACTGGACATTTTGTCAGACGGCCCTGTAAAATATATTTTAAGGCCTGGTGTAACATGTCAAAATGGACAGTCTTGCCATTACAATTGCTGGCATTTTATTAACACCCAACAAACGTCCTTGCTGAGCACCGGTACAAAATCTAGTTAACCCAACAATTCCAAGCACTTTCCCATTGATCAGCACTCAGTATGCTCAGAGCAATTGGCATTTGATAGGGTAAAATTACTGTGTAAAGTTTGTCCCCGAGCCGGCGGCGCGAAGCGCCGTGCGAGGGTACTAATTCCCCCCGGCTATTTACACCCGGGGAAACGAAAGCATTAGCGGAGTCTAAAGTTCAACAAATATCGCGGGCGTCGGTCACCAACGATGGGTGGTCATCCTCACTGATCTCAAAAATATGGCGGACTGTCATGAATAACGGACACTGATTGGTCCAATTTAAAGTTTGCATTATAACGGCTGTATGACGACAGCGAAATAGCAAACATTTCTTGATTTGATGAGTTGATGATTGATAAATTTCTTGCAAATATTCTTCATTTTTGCTGGTATTTCTGCAAGATTTTGTAAATTTCAAGAAGAAAGGGCGAAAGAATCAGCTAAAAGAAGGGAGCCGACGTTAACGAAGGTAAGTTTGTTTTAAATATTGATTTTATAATGGCTTTAAAACCCGACGGCCTTTGCGTATATGAAACAACTAAACAAGACAGCATATAATTTCAGTGTATCTTTAATACTGATTCCCTTTTTTATTATATTGAATTTTTTAAATATAAAATAAAGCAAAGTTATTTGCATGCGGGAATTTGAAATCATTTTATTGCAAACTCAAAGTTTATCGATAAAGCCATTTAATAGTTAAAGGCAGTTTAGTTTTATAAAGAACACTTTAAAACGTTTTGTGAATTGTTTGTGGTTGAATTTTACCTTAAATTGAAGCTTGTATTACGTATAATTACATACCTAACATAAATATGTTGGGAAATTGATAATTTTGTAATTAAAAGTGATATTTTTAGGCGATTTTCATTTGTAAGAATATTCTTAAAAAATTATCGTGTTACCATGACAACTACTTTAGATACTTCATGTTCGGAAAATACAACGGTTTTGTCAGCAAGGCGAGGGTTTCTGCATGCATGTATTTTCTAGTTAGTTCATACTTCCCAAATGTATTAATATACCACCCCCTTTAAATTTCTTTTTGTTTACCTCTTCTAGTGGCTCCAGCTCCTTTTCTTCCAAGGCTGATAGCTGTGCAGGTATCTCAGCTGTTTCTACAGGTTCAGCGGTTGGTCTTTGAACATTATTTTTCAATGAAAATATTAGACAATCTGTATTATCAGCTGGAACATGGTTGCCTGTTGTTTCCAGTGTCTGCAATAAGGATTCCCACCACTCTCGTGCCGAAGGTGGCATAACAGAATACCATTTCTGCATGTCAGATGCAAGCTTGGGTAAGTCTGCCTTTGAAAAATTTGGTGGTACCTGGATTGGCATGTCAACAGGAAGCGACTATATAATTTTAGTATAAATTTCCAGGTGACTATTGATTTTTCTGCATTCTGATTGGTTAAGATTCACTGTCTCTGAAGTGATAGTCACTGGTCAGTGACTATAGCTTTTTTTTCAAAATGGCTGCTCGTTTTGCCGTAGTAACAGAGGAGGAAATTGCCAAAATTAAAGAAGATAGCATTCCGAAAAAACCCAAACAAGCTATAAAATATGGTTTAAAAATATTTCAAGGTAAACTATTAAACTTTACATGCTTTTATTTGGAAAAAAACTGGCTTAGTCGCAACGCGACACAAAGCCGTGTCTGAGATTTAAATTTTGTAAACAAACTATTTATAGCGAAAATACATTTATTTGAAGTGAATTTTTATAAAGTTGTGTGGATTATTGTTTGTAAACACCTGGAAATTTATACTAAAACAATTAGTCGCCTCAGGCTCGGTGATTACAAGCCTATATTCACTTCGCCTTCGGCTCAGTGAATATAGGCTTGTAATCACCTCGCCTTCGGCGGCTAATTGTTAAATAGAAAAAATAAAACAATAACTTCCAGTCTCTTGAAGCCATTTTGTGATATTTTTTCAACACAGTTTAAGATACAGTAACCTTTTTGAGAAACATAATAATTGTATTACCTTTAATAGTTGTACAGGACCCATCCACTCATCGCCACTCCACTTCCTGTAGTACATAACTGCTTTATTTTCTTCATTCCGGACAAATTTGAAGCAATGTGGCCTGACATGTTTGTGTAGATCATCACTATGGGCATCCAACCATTCTTTAATGTCATACATTTTTGATAAACATCTGGATTCTGGGTGGGGTTTGTTAGAACACTCTTCATAAGCTTTTCTTATATCTAAAGTTATAATGCTTAAGTGAAGTGATCACACTGTAAGTTCATAATTACAATCTGCAGAATTTAGTGTCAACTAATTATTCTGTCATGCCAACAGAACTGATACACTGTTTAACATGATACCGGCAAAGTTAGTGTTGTAGGGTTTCATGTTGAAAATCTTTTTTAGAATCTTACAATAATCTTTTAATATTTTATTTTAATTTTCACTTAACATTCTTGCCAGATTATTACAACATCTTACAAGCTCAAATTGTAAGATAGTGATAAGATTTTTACATGGGGTGACAATAACCACCAATACCCATTAACCACCAGTACTCTATTACTGATAAATAAAATTATCTGGCATTGTACAGAGTAAATGCTAAAGTAGGGTGCAATTTTCCCGCTAATGGGTTAACCAATTACTGAACAAATCTCCCAACTCTAGTCTTTACTCTGTCTAATGCAAAACAATTTTACTCATCAGTGGTAGAGTACTGCTAGTTAATGGGTTAAAAACTTACCATCAACCGTATATACATCAAGAAATTTAAGATGCTTTGAAAAACAACCAAATAAGGCATCAATATCCTCATGGGTATGCCCAACTGGTAGGAAGTTGCCCTTGATCTGAAAAAGTAAAGGTTACATACAATTACTATATATATAGCAAATAATCATATTTCTCTGATAGAAAATTATTTCCCTTTAGGAAAACTTGTGCAAGAAGGCACATGTGATCTAAATCAATGGGTTTAATTGCCATGACAATGCTTCACCTGCATTATTAGCAACAGAGATAAAGATACAGTATTTTGAATGTTGGCCAGGATGGAAGCCCCTATACATGAGTTGACATGGTTGGAAGTGAACCCTTGGCACCTGTGACCAAATGAAACTGGTTCACTTTTGAAAATATGACCCATTCTTGTTTTAACCATACCTTATCAAACACGGACCATTCCACCAAAAGGGACAAAAAGGTAAAAACATATTTGTTCTTGTTTTTACGCCAGCAGTTGTCTAGTTGAAGGTTAAGTACTGGTGGTAAACCAAAGCGATCATTGAACAATGTAAGAAGTGTGATGGGAATGTTCATTGTTAAATTGCTGTCATGCGGCCATTGGAACAAGTCGAAAATACCGTGGAATGTTTTTCCCATGGGACACAACCCACTGTGCATGATAGCTCCAACAAGATGCGTTCTCATTTTTTGGAGATTTGCTGTTGACTTGCAGACTCGCCGAAGGTTTGGTACATCAGTCTTCGATTGATCCATACCATCCAAAATGATTGTTAAATACTTTGAAGGACTCCGTCGTGCTTTGTACCGATGAAGATGATATTTTTTCCTTTCATTCCTGGTAAGGAATAACATTCGCATGACTTGTAGACTCTTTTGAACAATAGAGAGGTTAAGACTATCCCATTTACTGATACCAGTACAGGGGATACTAATAGAGTCATTTTGTGTGGTAAATTTTATTGATATACTTGCGATAGATGAACCAGGCAGAAATCGTAATTTTAGGATAAATATTAATGCCCAGCATAAAATACGGAAAAGAGCCATAACAAAAATATAGTTTAAAATATTTATTAGAAAGCTGGCGTTTCGTCTTTAACTTAAGACATCTTCAGAGCAATGACATACAAAGCGGAAAACACAGAAATATGAATAAATTACAATTATTTACAAGATATTATATTACAAAAGTAGAAAGAGGAATGGATCAGAGCAGAAGTAAAGGGACAGAGCTGCCCTGTAAATTGAGAGAGGGTTTGAGTTTGTTAATGAGAAGACTTTCTCGAATGAGGAGTTCGTCTGGAGAAGAGCAACAAGAAATAATCTTGAAATCATTAAGAGAGGCGGTGTTCATATTTCTGTGTTTTCCGCTTTGTATGTCATTGCTCTGAAGATGTCTTAAGTTAAAGACGAAACGTTAGCTTTCTAATAAATATTTTAAACTATATTTTTGTCATGGCTCTTTTACGTATTTTATGCTGGGCATTAATATTTATCCTAAGATTTTATTGATACCTAAATGTTTAAACAAACTTTTTGTGTGTTCTCCACATAGACTATAGTATCAGAATAACAAGCACATTTATTACGAGTATAAACTTGCAGTAAATTATAAAACCAAATGGGGCTACTAGTACCTGATACCAGTTAACAGAATAATCTCAATCTCTCTATTAATCGACCTTATACTCTCTCCTCTGCAGAGCCTTCTTAAATATTTACAAATAACTTATGAAGTTTCCTGGATAAAAGTGAGCGTGCACGGTGTGACGGGAAGATTTAAATGATGCTGTAGAGGGAAGACTTAAATAGAGCTGCCCAGAAATAATGCAACAAAGTATGGTTTTTGAACCAAACTAGTTGTTTGACCTTTTTTAGACTTGAAATCGACGGAAATGTGAAAGAAATTGAAATAAATCTTCATAATCTGAGTATCGAAGTTCAGAAGAGTAATTTTTACAACGAAATGTTGCAGCCAGAGGATATTTATAATTAGATACAGTAGCGCATATCCATTTTTAGATTCATTTGCAATTTTTCAATATTTTTCGGTGCAAATGGACAGAAGATATTGATATTGGATTCATTCCAGGAGACTCAAGTACGCTTGAAAAGGAAACTGGAAAACATGTTTTAACACCCTCGATGGTTGATCGAACCGAACTGCAAATGATTATATATGCCGCCATATTGCTATAATATGATATAACTAGCAGATGCTTTATTTGTTTAGCTCTTCCCCTCACTCCTTGCGCGCTCACTTTTCCCTCACTAAAACTTCATGTAAGTCTCTGTGGAGGAGAGAGGACCTTACCCATTATGGCATATTCCACTACTACCATGTAAGACCACTAGACCAGAATGCTTTGTCAGCATTCTGGCTTGATTGCAATTTAATACTTGCAAAGCATCCTGGTCCTACTAGTTAAATAATGCAATAAACTTCATTAGGGGTAAGGCTTAATACACTATGATTGATGAATTGACCTTCACTTTCACTTTCATTAATGAGGACAAAAAATAAAAACCCAGGCCAAATAAGTATCGAAAGAGTAATAAGTAATATTTGTAGAAAACTAACAACTCTCAAATTTTATGCTGTTTACTTACATAACACGTTCAATGTGTTTATCTAGAAGCTCTTGAATAGCTTTTCTTTTAGCTTTGTTCATTGTTGCCTCTAGTTGCTTTTTTATACTTGGTGCAAGGATGGCATTTGGTAAATCGGTTTTCCTGTAATAATGAAATAATATTTGACATATTCATTAACTATAGACTAGCAGGATGACTGGTGGCAGGGTGCCTGTCTAATACCAGACGATTTTAGTGAAAAAGGGGAGACTCTTGCTAGTCTTTCTGTTTTATCATTTAAAGCCTTAAAATACACATAAATATTTTGCTGGGCTTTAGTGGTGAAAATTACAGTGGTTATTGACAAATCTGAACATGATCCTAGTTTTATTTTTTGCAACGTTTTGTGGAGTAATTGTTACCTTTGGTATTGAGACATGACTAAATTCTTTCTCCAAGATGCTATAGAAATGTGACCTGCTGATGGTGTCATCAGAATCCTGCTCACTTAACATTTTCTGGTACAAAGCCAGCTTGGTAAAACAGGATGGTAAATGAACTTTTCCACTATCTGGTTGTTGATCACCGATTGAGTTAACAAGGAATCTCAACCATGCTATACATTCTGATGTCTTTGTTGTGGGCCTTTTCAATCCAGTGTTCCCGTGCACGTACGCTTCTGAGCCATCTTTAAAATCACAGTGTATCGTTTTGAATCTTTGCAGTTTTAAGCCATGGACTTTAATCCAAGCTTGCTTGCAGACATGTGTCCCTTTTATTCTAAACACAGTCGTAGTTCCTTTTTCTGCATCGTGAGTAATTGACGTGTTATCTTTCAGATAATTAAGAATGTAATTCCTTTCATCGACTATCGTTTCAAGTGAGGTAAATTCACGCCTGACACTGTCAATATCTTTAAATGGTAAGCTTTTTAAACAATCAAGAGGACAGCATTCAGACTCGATTATTTCCAAGACTACTTGCTTGTTTTTCCTGTTTGTTCCTTTATAAGAAGGTTTAAGGCAATTAAGCAACAACAATTAAATCTGGAAATACTTAAGTCATAAATTTAATTATTTATTTTTCAACAAACCCCGAATTGTTGGTCCTTTTTTTATCACAGCATCAAGCGATGCAAACAACTTATTATCATGTGCGTTCTTTTGATGCTCAAATCCACTAAAATGACGTTTATCGCAACTATAATAGCTGTTACACAGCTCGCATAGTTTTTTCTTTATCCTGGAATGAGTTGGAATTGGTTTTAAAACTTTTGGACGAGGAAACGGTATAGGACCAGGACCGCAGTGACAGTGCAGGAGACGCAATACCCCAAGGAATGTTCGTGACTAAACATAACAGAAAATGCACAACAAATTATATTCTAACTTCTGTCGATAATATACAATTTAATACATATTTCTAACCCCGGTTGATAATATATAGAGAACCGAATAATATACATAGGTGCTTGGAAATACCAGATTTATTTCGAGTTATAATCTGGCATTTCCAAGCTCCCGTGTATTTTTCTATTTATTATATAAAGGACATGCAGTCTTTGAAAAGCGATAATTTTTACAGAAAAGCGATATAATAATTGAAAAGCGATAATTTTCACATGTGAGTAACAGTGAGTTTATCATAAATAGTCTCATGCACATGTGAGATTATCACTTTAATCAGTGCTCGAAATCTCTATAAAGCACTATACTTTATATAATAAAAGGCAATAAACCTAAAAATGTCATATACCGTTTTGTGGGCTCAGTGTGCTTTCATTGTCACTGCTAAATCCAATACCAACAGGCGAGGAGCTCAGTGATCGTCCAGGAGACGCAAAAATCCGAGGAAAGCTCGCCACTAAATTAAATATCATAAAAATTATTTTAGACATATAGTCCATATTATTTACTATATATATGGCCTATATATATATATACAAAACTTTGTCTCATTTTCGAGTCAATTTCAATATCCAGTCATGACTGATTCAAATGTCATATACCGTTTTGTGGACTCAGTGTGCTTTCATTGTCACTGCTAAATCCAATACCAACAGGCGAGGAGCTCAGTGATCGTCCAGGAGACGCAAAAATCCGAGGAAAGCTCGACACTAAATATCATAAAAATTATTTTAGGTATAGTCCATACTATATACAATTATACATGTCTTATTTGATGTCATACCGCTTTGTGGAGTCCTTGTGTTCTCGTTGTCACTGCTAAATCCAATACCATCCGGCGAACTGGCTTCTGTTTCTCCCTCACAAAGAGTCTGAATAGAAGTCGGCGTCGTCGGTTCTGGCGAGGATGAAAATCCGAACCCACAAGGCGAGGACATCACTAGATTATGCCCTTTTGGCGGTTTCTTCAAAATACTTCGGACAATTACAAGCCGCTTTAACTGAGTTACATGACTAACTGCGAGACCATGCATGCAGCTTATACCCGCTTTCTACGTTTTCAAACGTCATTTTGGTTCTTGTCGAATGTCGGTAATTAGTATGACCGCTTTTGATTGGTTGAGCCTTAAAGCCGTTAAACAATGAAAAATTTCTCAGTTATCTCGAACGTTGATTCGTTGAGCCGCGGAGACTCTATCAGCTCGTATGACGCGCTATCATTCATCTAGCCAGGGATCAGGATATACTCTGGCCATGTTATAAAGCAGTTCAATTATTTTATAGATCAGCCTTGCCAAAGAAGCCTGAACTGCAGTTATCTTGATTTGTTCTTGTGGTAACAAACCGTATTTCTTAACAAGTTAGCTTGATTTCTTAACAAGTTAGCTTAATTTGTTCTTGTGCCTGTTGTGGTAACAAACCGTATTTCTTATTTGAAATATGCCTTTAACTAATAAGTGGTCAATTCGACTCAGTGAAGACAAAACGCCGTACGTGTTTGTCAACGACATTCGCCATTCCAAAAGTGGTAAATACTATTCTAATATTCTGCGCGCCGAGACGGGAGAATTTAAGAAACGTATGGCTATAAAGGTACGACTACGAACGTTTTAAAGTTGTTCTTACTGTTTATAAATGTGCAGGTATACTGACAAATATGTTTTATATACTGTATTTTGTTTTTATACTGTATTTTTTGTCTCTTTGCATGCGACTGACATATTATAATGCCTCTTTTATATCATTCGTCTATAGTATAAAGATGAGACATAGACGAATAAGTCGCGTCGATTTAACATAGTCAGACGGAAAGGTCGCATGCTGACTAAGTTGTGATCACTTGGAATGTGTAATGAATTATAAGTGATTGTCAGTTTCCGGGCTTTTCGTTGGCGTTGCACACCAATTCTGCTCAGGGATATAACATCAAACAATTATATAGAATTCATAAATTTTGAAGATAAAGAATAAGATACACAGACTGACACAGATCGTTTATTTGAAACCCTAACGTAAGACTTTTTCGACATTTCCTTTTTTTATTTTATTTTATTTTATTTTACGTCTTCGTGAACACAGATGCAACAGAATGTCAGAGCGCTAAAGGTAAAATAAGCTTCGGCTGAACGAAACTATAAACGACGTTTTTGCTCAGTAAAACTTTCACTCATTTTCGGGTCAATTTCAATATCCAGTCATGGACAGTCATGACTGATTCAAATCGAGATTCAAGACATTCATAGTCTGCGTAGCAGGCGGTATTTGCGGGCACGTGGGTATTTGTACCCACGAATACCGGCCTGCTACGCAGGCTAAGACATTCAAGTCTTTCTGTTTTCGAAATTTCACTAAGTGAGCAATTCTCGCGTGTGCCACGAACACGAAATAATCTAGTGACAACGATCCGACGGGCGAAACTAACCCGAAGATCTTGGTATAAACTTCATATTATCATTTATATCTCGTGCATCATCTGTGAATTAATCTACATAATATTTACTGTGATTGTTTTCCTAGTTAGTAAAACCATCATTCACAAGGCTGAACTGTCTAGAAGGAAACAATTAAGTGCTGAGCAAACCCAATGTTATATAAGTGGGTCGTATAATTAAGTTGTCACTGTATAAAACGTTGTCAGCGTTGGTCTTTTATTAATAATCAATTTGGCAATTTCTCTTCGTTGCAATGTGTCTGAACTTTAAATTATATTCTTTGATCATTTCTAAATGTCAGGTAAGTTTTATACTCATCAAGGGGAGAGTCTTGTCACTTGTTCAATATAAATAATAAAAGTAATATGGTATATCTGTGCATGTATTATTTGAATTGTTTTTATGTGAAGAATTTTATTTATTTTATATATAGTTGATTTTCAATCCTGGAGCAGAGGGTAGAAGAGACCACTGTTTCTTTCAATCAAGCAAGTATGACTGGTCGGCAAGCAATGGACCATTTAAGGAAATTGTTGCAGCTGAAAATGAGCAACAATGGGCCGCAAAATGCAACAAAGCCATCGAGTACTTGAAAAACCAAGATGCTTCCAAAGAATCTCAAGCAAGTCAAGCCAGTGCATCCAAAGATTCTCAGCCTGTGTTGATGAATGATAACGGCAATTCAAAAAGAAAGGCTTCATCTCTTGTGGAACAGCTCACTCCTGTTGCCAGTACCAAGAAAAAGTGTGGGAGAGAAAACTTTGTTGAAGAAAAAGAATTAGAATACCAAAGAAGAGCCAAAGAATGTGAAGTTGGTATGTAGAAATATCAAATACCGTAAACCTCCGACTATAAGCTCCCCCCCTGAATATAAGCCCCCCCCCCGAATATAAGCCCAACACATACGAACGCTCGCCTCATTCCAAATATAAGCCTCCCGAATATAAGCCCACCCAAATATAAGCCCCCCAAATATAGTCCCCCGAATATATTAACCCAGTAGCCCACTACGTTACTCAACATTGACATTGTCTTTTAATATAGCAGAGAACTGTTTTTGAACAAATGACAATATTTAAAACCATTGTCATTGTCTTTATAGCCCACTATGTGAATCAAAGTGCGTTATTACAGTCAAACCGGATGTTCTCTTGCGAGCAACATTGCAACATTGTCCCACAATATTGCAATTTTGATAGGCAAATTGCTCTGAGCAAATTGCAACCGACGCAAACAAATTGCAAGTTGGAAATTCACAAAAGATTTGTAAACAAAGCCTCTGATTGGATTATAAGAAAGTGGGAAGCCAATCAAATAGTCTGAGCAACTGGATTGGTACATGTACTTCCCTCTTTCTTATAGTCCAATCAGAGGCTTTGGTTACAGATCATTTGTGAATTTCAACTTGCAATTTGCCTGTTTATGACTGACTTGTTTATGTCTGACTTGTTTATATTAACTAACACAAAAGATCGTCCATGTATAAGCCCCCCACCCCACCCCAAGCCCATCCTTGTATAAGCCCATCAAAAATTGCTTACAAAAGTATATAAGCCCAGGGCTTATAGTCAGAGGTTTACGTTTAGAGCTGCGTGGTTCCAAAACTTTTATCTCGGTTCTCAGGTTCTGTTTTTTTGGACAGTACAAAATGTTTGAAGTTTAACTCATGAATGTTTTGATCATTTTTGCTAAATAGGCCTAAACAAATTTATATGCCTTTGTAAGTTTGTATATTAAATCTCTGAATATTTTAAAAGAATTGGAATTATTGCAATTGGAATTGCAATTTTATATTTATGATCATGAAATGTTTCTTTTAAAAAAGCAAGACTAGTGCACAACAATAACTATCACAACCAAAATATCAACTATTTGAGCTATTACTTCAGTGCATATTGTGCACAAAGAGCACAATCTTGTTATTTTCCAAACATTTCAACCTGCAATACATTTCAACCTGCAATCAGGTGGGTGTTTGGCAGGCGTTAAATAGGAAATTACCGAAACTACCTGTTCTTTCGCGTATAATTTTTCGATGCTAAAAAAGTACCAGTCAACTGAATATTTTGGTTAACCGCCCAGCTCTACCCACCATATGACCAACCGCATGTTAACACAACTTAGCCCTGTTAATACAACCACTTTATTTTTTCCTGAGCAAAAGCTAATATTAAGTCTTTCTCTTATTTGAAAACCTGTTAACCAATTGAGTGCCAGTGCGCTCCCCTTGACGAGTAAAATCGTCTGGCGTTAGACAGAGTAAAATAATCTGGCATTAGACAGTAAAATAATAAAGTAGGGCGCATCGGGGCACAATGCGACTCAAATTTGGGTTAAATAGACACATGGGCAGATGGGCCAGTTAACCCATTGAGCGCCAGCGCTCTCCCCTTGACAAGTAAAATCGTCTGGCGTTAGACAGAGTAAAATAATAAAGTAGGGCGCATCGAGGCGCAATGCGACTCAATGGGTTAAAAATATGACCACCTCTTTTAATTGACCACATGTTTTGGCTCAACGGTATTAATTTTATTCTTTCTACAGCCATACAATTTATATAAATAGCATGTGTGTGTTTTCTACTACTTTAAATAGATGGCCAATTCTATGTTCCAGTTGGCAAGATTGAACTACCTCCAGCAGACAGAATGATTAGGAAAGTAGATGAAATTTTCCTGGCCCAACTAAAGGCAAATATGGAAAGTAACCCCAATGGCTCGTATGAACCGCTTTACTTGTTAGTGAAAGATCTCGATAGAACTGAAAACTTTTCAAAATCTTGTATCGACAGCTACCACTATGAGGTGCTTGGTGGTACTCATAATTTGTTGGCAACCAAGCAACTTTTAGAGAAACATCCTGACAGCAAAGTATATGAGGGACGATATGCAAGAATATTTGTTGGCTTAACAAATGGAGAGGCTCTGTGGCTGGCATCAAGACACAACAAGTCGGGATGTTTCCGTCATGAAATGACATTCCAAGATGAGGCAAGTATTTCTACCTTAAAATAGTTTTTATTATTATTTTATTTTTTTTAAACACAGAAATCATTTGTGGTCACTCGTGTGTCATTTTAGACAAGACCATTTAACTAACTGTATGTTTCATGGACAATTTTGTTTCTAACTAACTTGCCAGTTTAACTATTTGTAAAAAACTATTTACAATGGACAATTTTCATGTTTGACTAAATTTTAATCTAAGGGAGTGGTCATTATTTATGGGGAGGGGGGTTGGGAAATGGGAGGGGGGGAACCAAGCAGAAGTTTACCCATATACTTATAAATAGGGGGGATCAAAAAAGTTTTAACACAGAGAAGGGGGGGGGGGAATAATAGTTTTTGAACTTAAATACCATGTCTAGAGTTCTGATTTCTGTAATCACAAATAGCAAAAAAGAAGACTCTGAAAATGCTATTTCCAACGATCTAGAGACTCAAAATTTTCAAAATTTCCCTGCTCGGCGCCAACCATGGTAGCGCCTCGCAATCGTGGGAGTCGGGCCCACTAAGTTTACCAAGCTTTCTACCCCCTTAGTGACCAAGTTGTGGTATTTACATAAACATGCCATGCAAGTACACTTAACTGATCAGATTCGGTCTATCAACACACAACGTAACGCTGTATATCTAAAAATTTGTTTCGGAAAATGCTCACATTTCAGTTCTAGGGGTGGAAAAATGCAAAAAAATTTTCTGGGGGAGAATACTCCGAGACCCCCCCCCGCCCCCCTCTACTAGTCCAATACGATACAACACCAAACTTTTTGTCACCAGCAACCATCTCTCATCTCTCCACACTTAATATTGTAGATGCCCACCCCCCAGACAAGTTCTTAAAAAAACCCTGTGTTCAAATCATTTCGCTGTATGAAGACAGGTCATGGGTTAGGGTTATGGTAGGACAAATGTTGCATTGCAAAGTAGTAACACATAATATATATTTTTTAATCATATATGGTTGAATCATATTCACCAGGGTAAAACATCATGAGCTAGATTAAACAGATTGTCCTAATATCTAACTTTACCTGCAACGCACACCTGTTTCATTGCTGTTAATTTTTCAATCCACACTGGGGGGGGGGGTCAGAAATGTTTCTACTTTTATGAGGGGGAGGCACAAAAAGTTTGCCTTCAGTCTGGAGGGGGGGTCAAAAAAGTTTTCAATCCTTATTTTCCCCATCCCCCCCTCCCCATAAATAATGACCACTCCCTAAGTAAAGAGAAGGAAATCATACACCACAGCTAAAAAGAACATAATGAAATTTATTATGTAAAGCTTGGAAAATATAGTCTTGCAAAGTTTACAAATTTTGTATATGTTTGTATTACATACAGAAATTGTTACAATTTTCTGCTCATAAATGGTGACAATTTCCGCATGAACAAACATTCAAAATATTTCCACCCTCACCATGATATTTTTGGTATTTTACAATGTTTTGTAACCAAGTGTTTTAATTCTACTAATTTTAATAAATTCCTTACAAGAATTTACTTTTTTTGCCTAGATCAAAAATTAGTCTGACATGCAAGTTGTCTAGTATTCTTTGAGTGTTGGTTTATTGTGCAAACATTTGCTTAGACAGTTGTCAAGATTAATCATGACACATTGAATTTCTTTACTTTGCTCATTTTCCAGACCACATTATGTTGTTAAACTTGATTGGCTGGTTCAATACTATGATTAAATCTCATTAGATGCCTGAAGTCACCACTCTAATATCATTGGTTGAAAGAAGGGTGTGATTTAAGCACAAATTACACTTCCCAGAGTGTGATTTGTGCTTAAATCGCACTGTTAAGAGCGAATGACAGGTTGTAAGAAACCCCACTGATTTCAAAATGAATATAATAAACCCATTAACGAATCAGGCAGTACTCTAGTCTCTACCACTGACAAGTAAAATCGTTTAGACAGTACAGTAGATACTAATGTAGGGCGCATTTGGACACATTGCCAGACAATGGGTTAATAAAAACTTTGATCACAGAAATCTTCATACGGACTTTTTTAGGTGGAAGTTGCTCGCCGCCAGTTAGAGATCATTGGTGAAAAAAATGAGGACGGCGATTTAGTTCCTAGTCAGCAATGGAGAGACAGCTGTTCTCACATATTAGGGAAGCCAGTAAGTTTACTTGCCAGTTCATTTAATTTAAAAAAATAGGCATATTCTGGCCCATCATACAGTTAACAAAATACTAATTAAGTGACTGGAAATATAACACAGTCTTCACTCTGACTGTTATTTCACTCTGGGCATTTAATTTCTGAACTGTCAAACTGTCTGGGCATTTAATTTCTGAACTGTCATCAGATGATTTTGCTTATTAAGTGAAGAATCTTGCCAGTGAGTGGGTTATCAAGATAAAATATGTTGATAATTGTTACCGGTAACCCATTAACTGGTGCAAGACTGATCTCCCAGTATGATTGTCCGGCATATAGCAAAGTACTGTTAGTATTGCAGCTGTAACAAGGTTACAAGAGATGCAACAGTTTTAATTCAATAATTGGTTAATTTTCAATTAACTTTAATTTCAAATGGTATATTAACTTTGTATATTTATAGAAGAAAAATCTTTCTGATGTGATCTCCAGATAATTTTACTTGAATGTCCATTAAATACAGTACTTTTACTTGCTAGTTAATGGAAAATCACCCTCAAATATGGTCACGCCTCGTTACGTTTTAAGACCTAACATGGCAAAAAATTATGTTTTTACCAAAATTATTATAATCATTACAACTTGTAAATTTATATATTAGGAAACTTTAAATTCCAGTTGATTTACCAGTAACACTTGAAAATATTTTCGTGTGCAGTAATTGCCTATTTTTTAGTTAAACCAGCCAGGTAACCAAGCCTACGAAAATAATGGTTTCTAAATTAACCTATTTCAGTTGTCCAAACCTAGATTTTATATTAAATTTTTGTTGCAAATTGTCTCAATGAACAGTATAATGAACAGTATAGAAAGACATATTTGAACTGCTACAGGTATAATTATTTCCGTCCAGTTTTTAGTCATTATTTGCCACTTGTCACACGAGTCACATTTTTATGTCACGCAAGTCACGTACATTAATAGGTTGGCGTCATTATCTATTCAACCAAACATGCTTTTTCCGAAATTTCACTGAAGTGTGATTACCACGGGACGAAAAAACAGATTTGCAATAAATTTGCACACTTGTAAATTAGTTGCAAATTCAATAACTAATTTTGCAATATATTTGCGTATTAAGTGTTTTAGATTTGCAACCACTAAATTTACTTCAAATTTGCAAGCTGCTTTGCACAATCTGTAAATTTATTTGTAACTTTGCAACAAATTTGCCAGCGAAGTAAATTCATTGCGTAAATTGACTTTGCCAAAAAAAATACTAATGACTTTGCCATCACAAATTTCCTGTGGCATATGTATATTTAAATTTACAACAAATTTGCCAGCGAAGTAAATCCGTTGCGTATTTATTACACATTTTAGCTCTTCATGACTTTGCAAGAAATTACTAATACCTTTGCAATATGAAATTTCAATGGCAAATTTATATCTAAATTTACAACAAATTTACAAGCGACGCAGATTCATTGCGTATACTGACTTTGCAAGAAATTACTAATGCCTTTGCCATATGAAATTTCCATGGCAAATTTATATCTAAAATTACAACAAATTTACAATCGACGCAAATTCATTGCGTATATTGACTTTGCAAAACATTACTAATGCCTTTGCCATATGAAATTTCAATGGCAAATTTATATCTAAATTTACAACAAATTTACAATCGACGCAAATTCATTGCGTATATTGACTTTGCAAAAAATTACTAATGCCTTTGCCATATGAAATTTCAATGGCAAATTTATATCTAAATTTACAACAAATTTGCCCGCAAAGTAAAGTCATTGTGTATTTACGTTTCAAATATTAACTCCTTTTTATTCAGTTTGCGAATAGTTAATATAATGTTCCATATAATATTCTTTAGTATATTCTCTACTCTCTTTCGCCTGTTTCGGTGCTAAGCCCGGAATCTTGCCGGATGACAGTTGTTCAACACTCAAGGCAGTGACCAATGAGGGAAAAATAATAACAAACCAAGCTTGAAACCTATTATTCAGTAATAGAGGGTTACTTTAGGCACTTGACCACTTTCGCTGAAATATCCCAACATTTTTGCAAACATGCATGTTTGATATAAAGGGCTTGAAGCCTGTCGAGGAATCCGGCAGTGCAATTACGTCAAAGGCTATAGGGTGGACTCTCAAGACTCTATAAAAAGCCGCATAATTGAATGCTTTTAATTAAAGGAACTATATGCCAATGAATAATTGTAAGCTATCAAAGCATTAAAAATGTGAAAATAGTTGACTTGTATGGTTGTACCACAACAAGTAAACATAGTACCATGATCCTATCACCCTAATCGTCTACCCTATTGACACCCGCATCTGCAGGCTAGTTGTTCTATGGCGGGAAAATTGACCAATCACGTGGCCAGATTTTATCTGCGAAGGCGCGAATTCAGAAATCAGAATACAATTATTAGGGATGGGCGATACCAGGATTTTTAATTCGATACCGATACCGATACTTTTAAGATCGGTATCGGCCGATACCGATACCTATTTCGATACCAAAATGAACACAAAATTTCAATTTTCGATACCGGAAGTGAGTACTTAAATTGCTAGTATCGCTACTTTCGATACCTGCCGGTCAGCGGCGGAAAAGCATTTTACATTACTGTATGCGACCCCCCCCCCGTCGCCAAAAAAATTTCGGTCAGTGTACCATTTTAGGGGTTAAAAATTTTTTTCGGACATACCAAAATTTTTCCGGACATCACCAA